GAGTTGAGGTGTAAGGAGTTGAACTTGAAATCGTTTACAGTGTCATTGGGGACGGTACTGGCAGCATGCAGGAAAATGTTTAAACTCGATGATGTCCTTCTGCATAAACGAGGTAGAGCATGTTTAAAAACATAAAAGAGAGCGAGGAGACTGAAGTGTTACAGGTTGCCAAAGGAAAATTTAGGCTGTAGATAGCATCCTAAATGGATACACAGCTCAAGCTTTGCATAGTCATGACAGCGTAAAATGTAAAGAAATAAGAAGGCATTACCTGCATGAAGCAATCTGTTTGGGGCAGAGTTGGCTCGGGAATGGCCGGTCCAAATATCTAAAATGTAACTTACTAGGAATGCTGTCATTTTAGCAAATCACAGGTTTTTAAATGGAGAGTAGAAAACAAATGTTATTGTTGACATTAGTGACATAAACTTCTGGCTATGGTAGAAGACAGATTTCTCCCCAGCAGGTACTGAAATAACAGAAAAGGACAGTGTTTTAGTACTTCTGTTTCAGTAAGTTTCAAAAATATTTAGAAAGTGTTGCTTACAGAAGATAGTTTTAGCACAGTTGCTTGTATGTTTATTCAGTCTAAATTAACTGAAAGATAAAATAGAAAGTTGGAAAGTAGAAGGCGGCTTTAAATATCAGAGCAGCAAAGTTGTGGTTAGGATTAACACAGACAGGAGAACTTTCATGGATCTTACTCATTTGGTGAAGTGGTGGGATGGGAAGTAGGATTGTCATGCCTGTGAGAGCAGAGGACTGGGTGTTGTGATCTGAAAACCCCTTCGAGTCCAGTGTTTCTAAGACGGTTTCAGTTGTGACTTTCTGTTCATGTGTCTGTGATTAAAAATTTTCAAGCTTCTATAAACTGAGGTAAAACCAGGAGGGAAGAGAGTGAAGTTATAAATGGACTGTCTTTAACTGATTTTTTTTCTTTCAAAACAAACAAAATCAAAAAAACCCCCACAAGAATTCATATATACATACTTTCAGGAACTAGATAATAGTTGGATTTTTTTGTTTTGTTTTGTACTTATAATTACTTTTTTCCTGGGTTTTTTAAAAAATGTTTGTTCTTCTTTCTTCTGCTTTGTGAAAGACTCTCTCCACCCACACAAGAGTAGCTGATTGCTGTGTGCTTTTTATTCTCCGGTGTGTATAAACAAACTGAAAGTCTTACTACCATGTTAATAACGAAAAGTATGACTAATATAGCATAATTGGATTAAAAGTGATTTAGCTATTGATCTCTGATGTGGATCCTCAGACAAAATACAGCAGCAGGTAAAATAGTTTATCCTATGTGCCACCTCAAAGTGCACTTCTGTCCCACTTCTCTTTGCTGTGCATCTGGATGAGAAGATATTTCACGTGGATATGGACACTTCATATGTGTATGACACTCAAAATAACCCCTTGTGTGCACAACAAAAATATCATGCCAGTTTATTAACTCTGAGGAATAAATGCACAAGCCAATAAATAAATATCAGTTATTTCTGAGATTTGTCCATGATGGGTAGCTATAAATAGGAAATTCCAGTTCTGCAGTATGTCAAATGGCGACACTACTGCTAATAGCATGATGTTGACTGGCTTAGTAAAGCTTGGCTTGTTGCCAAGCTGGTTTTTTTTGGGGGGTGGGGGGAGGTTTGTTGTTGTTTGCTTGCGTTTTTTTTAAAGCCTTGTGAAAGATCCTGTAGGAGGTTTTGTATCACCTGAAAATAATCTCTTGATTTTCTTACTGCAGGTACTGTCTGGTTGCGGTGTCTACGATGGAACAGAAATCCATGAGGCCTCAGCGTAAGTTGCTTTATGAAACTGTAGGTCCAGAAAATTCTCCTTTACATTGCAGCAGTCCACTGAATTCAGTTTTACTCTCTCTGGCCATCAAAATTGCCTTGAAAGATGTACGATGAAGCTTCACAGTTTTCTCACAGCACAATTGGGAGTTCAGGCCACATTCTTGCAGTGCTTGGTCATTGTCCAAAAGTGCAGCACAAATGCATGTGATGCCAGAGCAATGAGTTTGAGAGAGATGGTCTTTCCTTCAGAAACAGAAATTCAGAGTTCCAGAATCAATCTCTAGAGAGTTAAGTAAAGACTTCATTTGATAATCACTTTGAGCTTCTGTTCCTGGGGCTAAATCTAGCCCCCAGAATTGTTAATACTCAAGTTGAATTATTAATTGTTAGTATTAATTGCTAAGAGATATTTCATCTAGACCTAGATTAAATGTACAAATAGGTATGTTAATTGTGTGACTCTTCCATAACACCTGGGGACTTGGCAATGAGAAAGGAAGTTTGTATTATTCCTGGCTTCCTGCATAAGAACACTGAACAAAAACTTGTCTCTAGCTTACCTGACTCTGTCTCCAAACTGACTTTCCATTCTGCTTTGCACTTTGGTGTTACACACAGTGATTTTGCTGCTACATGCTCAGTGTACTTCGGTATGATATGTGTTTTTCCTTTTCTTTCAAAATCAGGTGGTAGAATATTTGTAGCAAGACGTTGGGGTCAGACAACACCTCTCTTACGAAGTTTTCAGCACATTTTGTCTCCATTTTTGTAGCATACTGGTACATCTTAGTCGTGGGGGAGCTGAGGTTCAGATGTATGCTCCAGATGTTCCTCAGATGCATGTCATTGATCACAGTAAAGGGCAACCAGCTGAAGCTGAGTCCAGGTAAAGTCTGTGTTTAATGTGTTTTCCATGACTGCTGAGTCTCAGTCTCTTAAGCTTTCTTCAGACAAAGCAGCCTGTAACTGCACTTGTAGCGCTTTGCTGACCGGCTTTAGCAGCTTTATGCTAGCTGCTATTTTGATTGGAGAGAAAATATTAAACGAGTTTTCTGGGCTTGATCATACGCAGTCTCTTAATGCCTGTGTTTCCCAGTAGTAGTATTTCAGAAGCGTCGATAGCTTCAGTTACTGAGTACCATTGTTCTTGCTTCCTCTCCCTCCTCTTCCTCTGCCAAAACTTTCTTTATGCTCTTCTGTGTGCAAATGCTTAATTCATCTCATTATTTTATTTCTGGTTCTTCAAGGAATGTTTTAGTGGAATCTGCAAGGATTGCTCGTGGTAAAATTGCAAGCCTGGCTAAACTTACTACAGCAGACCATGACGCTGTGATATTCCCTGGTGGATTTGGAGCTGCTAAAAACTTGTGAGTGCCAACTAAGCATTAGACTCCAACTAAATATTCATGATCAACTATTCATAATCAACTATGATTCACAGAATAAAGTCAGGAAGCAATGAATGGCTTTATTTACTACATATGTAACCACTACTTAATAAGGAAATCTGCCTTTCCAGTTGTAATTTTTATTGGCATTGTCACATTTTAATTTTTCTGAACTGTGTTCGTGAGAATTCTGGGTTTTAGATAATGCACAAGAAGTCCTTTTCCGCTCACCCTTGTGGTGATTCTTTTTGGGCCTGAGGGAAGTGAAAGTAAAACTTCAATAGATTCAGGTGTTCCTAGTGTTATTCTGTTTGCTTCTTCATGTCTGCCTACCAAAAAGTCCTCTCCTGAATTAGTATCAATAAAACAACAACTAGCTCAAAAAAAAAAAGGGGGGGGGGACACAAACAAAAGTTTACCCATGTGGAATACTGATTATCTTGTTATTGACCTGCCATTTTGTTGGCTTTGCGAAACCTGAATGTTATTTCCCTTTTCGTAATTTTTTTCTTTGAGAACATTGCTGTTCCACTTCTCAGTAATCCTAGGAAGCTGATTTGATGATTCTTATTTCTAGATGTTTATCTCAAGTAAGGAAGTTTCTGACATACCAAAGCCTTAGAAGTGAGTAATTTTGGCTAAAGCACTGCTGGTCAACTACAGCATTTTTCAACCACCTTTTAGAAGCTATTAAGTTTGTGATGACCCTTGAGAACCAGTCTCGGGGCAGATAGGCATCTCTATTTGTAGGTTGATACTGAGGTACATATGAAGTTTCTTGTTGTGGCAGATCTACCTTTGCTGTTGATGGGAAAGATTGCAAGGTGAACAGAGAAGTTGAACGTGTCTTGAAAGACTTCCACAAAGCAGGCAAACCTATTGGGTACGTATGTTAGTTGGAGTGGCATTTGTTTGATAGTGTGAAAATGGAGACAAAGTACGTTTTGTGGAAATGTTCAGTTGTTACTGCTGGAGCTAGAAAAAATATCTTCGGTTTTGTATCAGTTGTAGCTTATTTTTTTAAATGTGTTTTTCAAGGTAAGTGTGTGTATAGTTGTTTTTGACAAAAGAGGCTAAGAAAACATCTGGTGGAAGTTGCCTTGTGATGCCTTTCAGATTTGTAAGACAATATCCATTGAATCTCTTCAATTATTTGTTTTGAAACAAGAAGTTTTGAAAGAGTGCTATCGAAGTATTGCTGTTATAATTCCTTTTGTTGCAGTCTTTGCTGCATTTCACCAGTGTTGGCAGCAAAGGTTCTCTCTGGTGCTGAAGTAACTGTGGGCCATGAAGAGGAGGAAGGTGGCAAGTGGCCTTATGCTGGGACTGCAGGAGCCATTAAAGACCTGGGAGGAAGGCATTGTGTGAAAGAAGTAACTATATCCTTTCCTGTTAATTTTCATGTTGACAGACAGTTTAGTAACATGTTGTTACAGTAATGAATACGTGCAGGATCTATGCTTTTGCACTTAGGGTTTAGAGGGAACATACAGTGTATAGCAAATGGCTCGTAATACAGTGTACGATTAGAAAACATGGTCTTCTGTACACTGCTGTGTAGTTACAAGTTGTTCTTAGTCATTGCTGTAAAACTCCCTTTGACACCCAATAATGCAAGTAAATGCTGAGTGAATTTGCACATAAAACTGGCATAAATTGCAATTTGTCAGTTTTCTTTGAGATTTTTTTTCTTTTCCTGAAGGCTACTGCTGTGATCAGACTGTACTCAGAGACATTTTTGTCATAGTCAGTAAGTCTCGTAGGTTTTCTTGTGTTTCTGAGTGCCAGCATTCCCACAGATTGCTGTTGCAGTCTTTGTGTTTCTGGCAAAAATAGCTTCCAGGATCTCAGCTTACAGGTTGCAGCTGTCTTTACAGCTGGACAGCACAATATATTTAGAGGTGGGGTTTTTAAATGAGGTAGTGGAATTGGAAGGTTTTGTCAAAGATGGTTTATTTTGCAGACAGCATCTGCAAGTGAGACATAGGCTGTGTTTTCCTTAACTCCCTTTTACGAAGCTCATGTGGATACAAAAAACAAGGTGGTGACTACCCCAGCATTTATGTGTGAAACAGAATTACATAATATCTTTGATGGCATTGGGGCCATGGTAAAGAACGTGCTAAAACTAACTGGCAAGTAAAAAAAAAAAACTTCATAAATGTTTAAATTTAGGGTGTAGTATCCAATACAATATGGACCAATGGAAACATTTTCACCTGCTTGTCTTGTTCACACTCTAGTGAATGCTGATACGAAGCTGATTGATTCCCAGCTGCAGGGTTTTCTGTGCCCTTCCTGAGAGAGGGGCCTGCAGAAGGGCTTGTGGAGTATGAGCAGTCTGGCCTGAGCCACAGAGCAGTTTCTTGAGCTTTTTTAGCTGGAGAGTGCTGTGCAGATGTATTCTGAAACCAGTCCTCCCAATGCACCAGTGTCAAATCATTTCTATAGGGGCCAAGAGAGACTGAAGTCCCTTTCAGAAGCTGAGGACAGATGTGTTGTAGAGACATAACAGGGGCAGTGGCAGTGTATCTAGTGGACAAAGAAAGGGAGTAGAGAGGAATTAGTGTGTGGTTTATGTGCTCAGGGCTGTATCTGTGAACTAAAAGCCAGGATCAGCTGTCAAGGGAATAGACATCTTCCACATCTTAATTTTAGCTTGTATTAATTAAATGATTAATGTTTTGGTTTTCTGTTTTAAAGAATCCTGTTTTCACGAAGGACCCATTCTGTGTATCAGTCAGCAGCAGGATACATCTTAACTGTCACAACACTAGCACTTTGAAAAATTCATCCATTGGCCCATTATAGCTAAAAAGGTCTTGAAATGAAGGAGAAAATGCTCGCTGATGTAACGCACAATTTTTAAGGATAATATCCCTGTTAAAGTAGTTGCATGACTAGCATTGGATGGAAAAAACAATTTCAAATTATCCTCACTTTCCCTGCTTTAGGGTAATAAAGCTTTCTCCAAAGAAATTTTATTGAATGTCTGGAGTAATGATGTATAAATAAATAAATTTCTGCCTTTATCTCATCCTTGTCCCTTTACTTTTGTTCAACAGCTGCCTCTGACGACTTGCACTCGTTGATACATTCTAGCAGTTTTTCAGCTTTTCAATTCTTGTCATGTCTTTGAGACATTTTTTCCATATAGAATCCAGAAGAGTCTCTTTTCCCCCTTCCAAGTTATTTGCCATGTTTCTATTCAGC